AAATATGGTGCCAGTTAAATTGATACAAACCAGTCAATAAAAACATACTCTAAAGTAATTAAAAATGTTTTAGAAGAAGAATTTGGAAAGTTGCTCACGACATGTTATGAAGTAAAGAAAACAGGTCATACAATGATCCCACTTTTGTAAAGGAAAAAAGATGCATAATTAATTACACTGAATCTAAGATATTCCCATTAATAAGTACACTATTTTTATTTACCATTAAGAAACTAAAAATAAATGTCCCCAATTAAGCCATATTAACCATAGATTATAGACCATATCATGATCTTAGAGATGTTAGAATGAAATATGTATCCTAGAATTGATAAAATACTATATTCTCTCATATTCACTTCATTGTAAAATAATCTCCCTTGCCATCACATTTTAATTTCTTGAATTTAGGGATGTATCTTACAAATAAGGTATACATTTAATATAGTCTTTCTCCTGTCACCACCACCCCACCCACTAATCATCAAGATCAAGAAAATACTTGATTTATATCATATAAATAGTTGTTTAATAGAATTAAAAGGATATACACCAGAAAGCTAAAAGTAGTTTTCTTGGAATGTTAAGAATATTTACTTCTTGCTCTGGTTTTTCTGTAATTTCCAAATTTTCTAAAATGAATTTAAATAAACCATCTGAACAAGACAGCATCGTGAATTCCCAGATTAGCCCCAGCTCATGTAGAAGCAAGCAGATCACTCAGGCTAGGGCAAGATAGGACTCCCATTCACTGTGCTTCCATTAACAGGAAATCCTCAGAGCAAAGAGCCAGAGGGGCAGAAAGCAATTTTTAATAGCTCATTCTTGGGGTGTCATTCACTTTAAAAGATCATATTTGCAAAAACTAACCTCTTGGCAAACTGACCTTCCCACTACTTCACTTCTATTCCTTTCTGCACCCACCAGCACAACAAAAAAAGAGCCTGGCAAATAGGCTTCCTTTTAAATGCCAGTTTTTGGTTGTTTTGTTTTGGTTTTTTCCAAGTTTTATTATGATTTTTTAATAATTTTTTTTTACATCACTGTTCATTTCCAAACAATATTTGTTTCCCCCCCCACCCCCTCAGGTGCAGTCCCCACAGAACCTCCCTCACCAATGCACCCTTGCACTATCACCTCAGTCTCCCTCCCGCCTCCCTTCCTCCTCCTCCTGATCCTCCTCCCCCCTCCCGGGCAGCAGGTCTCCGACCTACAATTGTCTGTTTTTGCTTTGCCGCGTTCTGCACCGTCATAATTTTCCTACACAGATGTCTCACCTGGCTCCCCCACATTCCCGCTACAAGCGTAATCATTCGACACTCTTCTCCCTCGCTCAGGCCCATCTCGCTGAGCACAGCCCCCTCCAGCTCTGGCGTTGCCGGCTGCACGTAGTGATTGCCTGGAGCACCGTATTTGAAAGAATTCTGAGGCCAAGTTGGAAATCAATTAGGCCAAGTTGCCTGATCAATTAGCAGTGACCCAAATGCTACCCACGTTCCAGGCCTGAATGGAGTGTCTCCATTTTATTCTTGCTCCTCTTTGACCAGACCACCTGCTTTTCCAGCCAATAAAATTAGAGATCCTAACCAGACTATGACTTTATTATGAGGGCCTGGATTGTTGCTATTAATAGTAAACTAAGTCTACCAAAGACACAATTCAAATTTACAAGTCAGCATTACATAGTACAGCATCATACTTCAAAGTTGAATTTCACAAGCATTATGATCAAGTAATTCTACTCCTAGATCACATACCTCATGCAACTGCTCACCAAGAAAAAGGAATAAAAAAAATCCATAAGCAACTACTTATAAGACAGAAAAATAAATGGTGGCACACACCCAGAGTTTATAATTTCATTAGTTATGCAAAACCATATGAATTAATAATAAAGCAAGCATTTGAATGAAATAAGCAAGAGGTATAAATCCACATATTATACTTTTGTTTAAAAGATCAAAAAGAAAAGCACAAAAACTAAATTCCACATATATAAGAAATATGTGCATATATAATAAAAGAATTGTTCAAAGGCATGGTTTTGGTTTTTTTTATTTTTATTTTTTTTTTTTTTTAGAAATGACTGTTTATTTATTTATTTATTTATTTATTTTTTAAATAGAGGCATGTTTTATTTGTTTGTTTGTTTTTTGTTTATACATGCACTGGGTACAGTCAGAAGCGCGGGAGGGTGAGAGAATTCACCAGAGCCAGAGAGGGGAGCAGAGCAGGCAGAAGGACCGAAGCACACTGCTGAGGGGAGCAGCGGGCGGCAGGAGAGGTCTGCGCGCCATGTGGGACCCTCCTCCGGTGGCTGGGGAGCAGCCGGGGATCGAACCGGCGCCACAGAGGCTGAGGGCAGCTTCGCAACCCAGCGCTCAACCGCTGCGCCACCGGGGAGGCCCGGTTTTGGTTTTTTTTAAAGGCAAGGGAATACATTACACAAAATTCAATATAGTAGTTAACTTTGGGGTAGGTACAGGACACTATAGGAAAAGATGAAAGATGCAATTGGAATATTCTCCTTAAGTTAGATGGTGGTTTCACAGGTATTCCACTATTGCCATGCTTCATGACATATACATGCATACATACATACATGTAGGGATTCATTTTCACTTAATGCAATGCTGGACTAAAAATAATAATCCCCCCCCCCATGTTTTTGTTTGGACGATAGGGAAGAAAACCTGCCTGGCAATTTCATGGATTAGAATGTGCCTCTTTTAAAACAGAGTGCCTATGTGGCTGACTCAGCCTACCTCCTGTGTCAGGTCTCCTATGCACAGCTGCTGAGTCTCAACCAGAAGTCTAATACGGGAGCAAGAACAGATGGACACAGCTTTCCTTCAATGCCTCTCTGGACTCTCTCAGATATGCCCAAAGAAAGAGCAACACTCTCATCTTTGCAGTGACAGATTTGGGCAAGTCACTTTTTAAAAATATCTCTTAGATTTTTTAAATTATTTTAAAGATCATTTACTCCAATCATCCTAATTTTTATGTCTATTGCAATTTATGTAGCATTTTATCTCTGCAATGCACTCTATGGTCTCAGTATCTGTAACTTCAAATGGACGATGAATTATTTATAGTTAGAAAAATATGAAACCATCTAAATATCTAGGCATAAAGCAGTGGTAGGCGAGCATGCAGCTGTTTAGTACTATGTTTATGAAGGGTGTACAGTAACACAGAAGATGCTCAAATTATTAAATGAAACACTATAACTGTTTCTACAGTTAAGATCCCAGTTATATAGCACAACAAATGAAACCTATGATTTAAACCAAGCTGGAAAAAATCGACAATCATGTCAAGGGAGTAAAGATACATTTTTTTCTTCCTAAGTTTTCTAAAATAAGATTGAGTTTTGCCCCACTAGACTGCAAACATTCTTGGAGGGGAAATTGATTAGATAGATTGACTTTTGGGGAATTGGAGGCACCAATAGGGGTTTCCCATATAAGGGAAGGTAGCAAGCCAGTGACAGCACCATATTATCCAAACTTCCTGTGTTTCTAGCTTTTTATGTCTTAATTCTGAATCCAACTCCTTAACCACACTCATCTCCACCCCCAACATATTCAAGCAAATTAGTAAAGTAAGACAAGTTCTCCAAAGAACTGTTACTAGCACCTCAGTCCCCTTATTTAGGTGGTAGTCAGCATCTACCCCATTCACTGCCTTTTTCCTGAAAGTCTTGGTAGGCAGGGAGAAAACAGAATGTGAATGCTAATCAAATTGTCTTTGAAAAGCAGTGCCCATTCTGAGGATGGTCAGTACAATGAATTGATCACCTACTTGAATCAGATCCCAGAAAAGTTAGGCAGGTCACCCCAGCTTTGGGCTCAGAGGGTATTGTCATGATTTAATCACAACGTATGGCTTTTTTTAAACAAAGATTTTAATAAAATAAAATAATTTGAAATAATAATGTTTTATTTAAAACTTTGGTGGTCAAGCATGGACAGGGTTTTGGGGAACTAGAAATGTAAATTTAATAGGACCTATTAAAATGAAAAACAGAGCAATTCCTCTTCTATCCATATGGCTGAGGGAACAGCCACGTATTTACAAGTGGACATGGTCAAGGATTTTAATTGCAGAAATGCTTGTTTTATGAAAAGTTGGAAACTACCAACTGTGGTTCTCAAAAAGATAAATAAAATTATTTATAGAGTAGAATATTGATAGCTGTTAAAATGGGTGAGCCATACAGTATATGGATTGACATGGATAAGTCTATTTGCGGGTAAGAGAAACAGATCTTTGAGTATTTAAAAGAAGTAGCTATAGACATATTGCTCCCTTAAGAATAGATATCAAAATATTTAGTGAAAAGAACAAGTTCTAGAATGACATCTGAAATATACCACTTCTATAAAGAAAATTGACAAACGGTAGCTGTACATTTTTATATGTTCAGATATGTGTGTGTAATAGTACAGAACATCCTAGAAGAAAATATTAAAAATGTAACAAGCATTACCTCTGAAGAGGTGACTGGAAGTGAAGGTGGGAAAGGTAAAAAGAGATTCCAGCTTCATTGATGATATTCCAACTTTCCAAAAGTAAATGGATCCCAGTGTTACTTGTGTATTTGTAATTACTTTTTTAAAGTTTCAGCAATCACTTTATCCTTTGACACACACACACACACACACACACACGCATGTTATATGTGTTATATCCTAGAAACTAAGAACACAGAGCTTTCTGTAAGAAAAGATTTCTGACAGTACCACACCCACTTCCCCCTCCACCTTACCACAAAAGGTACCTCCACCCAGGCAAGTTCCCCCAAAGTCTTTGCTTTATAACCCTCTTAACAAGTCACATTGCCAGCGACTCTGCAGAAAAAGTTATGTCAGAAAACAATTAATTGTCAGAAGTTTGAATTACCTTTCCTTGGTAAATATAAGAGCAAAGTATTTTAGAAATTGGCATCAGCCAAATCAACAAGAGAAAAGAAGGCAACTCCCCACATTTCATACCTGTCAAAAACCACTGCTGAATAAGCCCGCTCAGCAAAAATGACATCAGAAGCCCAGAACTCCTTAGTGGCCTTCAGACCCCTGCCTTTGCCCTCAGACGTGAAGACCTCCACGTTCTCCATTCTCTCTATTGTCATCTCAGGCTCAGGCAGCACAGGGTATTTAGCCAAGACTCTTGTCGCTGCTATTTCAGCACTTCAGCATCCCAAAGAGCAAGTCTATAAATGGACATGCCACCTCCCCTTCCCTGCCCCCTCACTTTCCCCTGGGCTGCCTCCCCTCCTCCACTTTTTCTGGAGGTGGGGAGGAAGCAGGCAAGGGGACAGTGGTCCAGGAATGACCTCTTTCAACACATGGCAAAGTTGACACAGCAGAAAATAATCGTGGGCGGGTGTGCTCCTGGGGTTGGGCCTACAAACTTTGAAAACTTTCTTTGCAATAAGCTAAGTCCTGGATTTGCAGTCATGCTCAGATTTAGTTGGAATAGGGAGCACTTGGTCAGTAGGGTATTTTTAGCAGCCAGATGCCTTTGTCAATCCAAAGTAGAGAGCAAATGGTCCAAGGGGAGAAGCGAGGTGATACTTACTGCTCTGGGATTCTTCCTTATCAGACTTGCAGTTTCTCAAATGAGATAGTCCTCTTGGCCCCTACTTCCTCCCTCACGGGTGCACTGTTGGCAGAAAGCAGGGGTCTGCTAAACTGACTCCTTCGGCATCTATGTAACAGTACTAGTTAGGCTACAAGGGCCACCCCTCTTTTCCAATGACCTGGGCCTCCCACAGCACTCCCACCCAGGGCATAGAGGCCTGGGAGTGCCCTGCCTTGGCATCACTGAGGATGTAGGTGTGCAGGACACAGGGAGGATAAAGAGAGGAGGCAGGGCTTGAAAACAAAATCCCCCCTTTCAGTGAACTAAGTAAAACAAAAACAAACTAAAATAGTGGTTACCAGAAGGACAGACTGGATTTTTAGTGGTGAACTTAATGTAGCACATAGACATTGATTTAAAATGATGCACACCAATAACTTATATGTGAAAACATAACATTACTTCAATTTTAAAAAATTTTAAAACCTAAAATATAAGCTTGCATTAAGAGCAAAATTGTAAATAATAAAATCATTATGCAAAAAATATTTTAAAACCACATAAAAAGAAAAAGTAAAATCCCCCATTTCTTTCTATCAAATCTCCCTTAACCATGTCTGCTACCAAGGAATTATCAACGGGCTCTGGCCCTCTTAGGCAGGGGTGTGGATGTCAGAGACACAATTCTAAAATCCCCACTTAACTAAATACCACTGCCCTTGATGGCCAGGCAGTTCTCACTGAAGTTGAAAAGAAAAGCACTTGAAGATCCGGAGCTGTGGTTTATCTTCCAGGTAATATTTTTAGCTTCCGGGATGTATCTATTTACAGGAACCCTGCACTCTGGTTCTCTGTGGTTTTCTGGAATCTCCTTGTAAGGCACTGGTCAGTCCTTTTGATTCCGCCATCATAACTTAAGCATCTTCCAAAACCCCACTTACCATACTGTCACTTTTGTCAATGAGGACTTCAATAAATCAATTTTGGGGAGACACATTCAGGCCATAGGAGTTAGTAATTTAGATTTTTTTCAGGTATGAGCAAGTAAATTATATTATGTACAAATGCCATTTCAGTGTTTGGATGTTATATATTTACTATAATGAGAGGTTAAGTATAATACTCGACAGGTTAGTTTCTGAAAAGAGTTACAAACTACGACAAACTTAGTGGCTTAAAACTGTAAGTGATCTTACAGTTAGGTGTCCAGAAGCCAGAAACAGGGCTCTGGGCTGAAATCAAGATGTCAGCAGGGTCTCACCCCCTCTGGGGGTTCTAGGGGAAGGAGCTGTTTCCTTGTCTTTTCCAATTTCTAGCATCTGCCTGCACTTCTTTGCTCATGGGCCATTCCTTCATCTTCAAAACCAGCAGTTTAACATCTTGAAATGTCTGGTTCTAAGCCCCTTGTGATTCCATTGGGCCTGCTTAGATAATTCAGGGTAACCTCCCCACCACAAGATACTTTACTTAATCACTTTTGCAAAGTTCCTTTTGCCGTATTAGGCAACAAATTCACAGGTCTGGGGATTAGGACCTGGACATCTGAGGGGGCAATATATTGTCTTTCTGTCTACCACACTTCAGCAACATAATGCTAATAAGGTTAGATTCAATAACTAAAACTCTGGGCCCAATGTTCTCTCCCTCCTTTTGTCCTGGGGCAGGTAGATTTCTTCTTTGTCTCTGACTGGGCTGACTGTGATCTGAAAGAAGGTCCTCATCCCACCATGCTGGCACCCTGATCTAGGACTCCCAGCTTCCAGAACTGTGAGAAATAAAGTTCTGTCATTGATAAGCTTCCCAATCTGAGGTATTTTATTGTGTTGTAGCCTAAATGGACTAAAACACTAACCTAACCTAATAAGGGAGAAATAAAATGAAAGTTAACGTAATATATATTCATTACAATGCTCACTATAAATATGCCTGAGTACAACTATACTGTAAAATAAAAAAAAAAAAAAGTGGTCAGATGTTTGCTTCTCTGAATGGAATCACTGTGATAAGTGAGAGCTAAAAATGTAGGTTGATATTGAGGACACAGATAACACACAGGGCATTGTTGTCTGTGACATAATCTTCTGAAGTAATGAATGACCTATAATCAAGTTCTGAACAAAAGAAAGTATAACCTCCCTTCAGTTAAAAAGAAGTCACATTCCTAGAAAATTTAGTGTACGTTAAACTTTACAAAAACTGCCCTATGATTATATATAAAATAAAGTTCTAGACGTGGATAGTTAAAAACAAAGTTTCATATAACTGAAATGTGCATCTAGATATTTGAGGTTGTGTAAGATGACCAGAGATTCTTCACTGTCTAAGACTGTCCCCTACTTCCCAATGCATCTAGTCTCTCTGGCCAAGACTAGTGAGACATGGGGTGTTAGTACTAAATATAAGGATGGTGATGGGTAAGGAGGCACAGGGCCCTATATTATACATCAGACCAGTCCTGTGTGTAATTTTTGCTCAATTTCCCCTCACTGGAATTGGGAGGCAAACCTTTCCTCGTGGCCCTGGTCCTTCCCAAAATATGCCGGTAATACCCACAATCATTGACAACCAAAATTCCCTTCCTCCTTCCCACCCCCATTTCTAAAATACCTTCTATGTGGTAGAATGGTCACCATTTAGAATGCTTGTCATCAGGAAAAGTACATCTAGAGTTTTAAAAGGATTTTTTATAGCCCTGCTGGAGTTGCTTAGCCAGAGATGAAAAGATTCAGGAATGATACAAGGGCTTTCTTCGATGTCATACATCAAACTAGGGCCCAGGATGGGCATAATCATGTGGTGTCACAGTTATAAGATGATACACTTGCACACCACAGATTTTTCACCACACTTCTGTAAACGTGCCCCTTCTGCTCCAAGAAGATGGAAAACTTTTCCATTGCTAATGACTTTAACAGCTATCTAGTTTTTTTGTGTATGTGTGTCTCACACACACACACATACCCACACACATACACAGTGAGAAAGGGTGGAAAATGAAACAGTTCAAGTGAAAGAACCCCCAGTCCTTGAGAGAGATCTGACCTAGGAGATTCCAGACAAGAGGAAGACAAAAATGACCACTGAACTCTGCCTCTATTTCAGCTGAACTGTCTTCCTACCTCAGCCCATATATGTCAAGAACATCACCCCTGACCTCCGAGCACTCCCACAGTGCTCCTCAAAGTGTGAGGCAACTGTTGCAAGACATGCCAAGCGAGGGTGATGCTGGGTACTCAGTCATGTACCTCAAGGGTGGAAGAAAGTGACATGAAGAGGCCAGGAATGGGGGCTATTTTAAAGAGTTATCTGTGTAGCACTACAAAAGAAGACATGGGCTCCAAGTATCCTTTTTTTTTTTTTTTTTTTAATAGAGGCATGTTTTTTTTTTTTTTTTATTTGTTTGTTTGTTTGTTTTGTTTATACATGCACTGGGTACAGTCAGAAGCGCGGGAGGGTGAGAGAATTCACCAGAGCCAGAGCGGGGAGCAGAACAGGCAGAAGGACCGAAGTACACTGCTGAGGGGAGCAGCGGGCGGCAGGAGAGGTCTGCGCGCCATGTGGGACCCTCCTCTGGTGGCCGGGGAGCAGCCGGGGATCGAACCGACGCAGAGGCCGCGGGCAGCTTCGCAACCCAGCGCTCAACCGCTGTGCCACCGGGGAGGCCCTCCAAGTATCCTTTTAATTGAACTTCCACTGGTTAACCTGCATCTCTTGTGGAATTTGATTCCAGATTCCATGTTGTAGCCTCCAAATCTTTAATCAATGCCTATATTCATATTACCATCCAGAGCCTTTCAGCAAATCACCTCAGAGATCTTCAGAGAGTGATTGTGTCCCCTTCATTTGCATATGTCACAATTTAATATGTAGAAACAAGTGAGAAAGTGAAGTTACAAATGAAATCCAGAGTAATGGTTCATGATAAGTTTTCAATCATTGGGGTAGATTGTGTGGTGCTAATTAATTCTGTGACTGATTTACCATACTTTGGAAAAACTCCAATCATCCCTTCTATTGAAAATTCCACTGGCTGCAGGGCCACCATCTAGTGGCAAATCAAGGGATTTGCAAGAGCTTAAATCTTTCTAAAACCTGATTTAGTAAACACCAGTTCTTTATCACTAGATTCCATTCCCACTGTCCGTGAAGCTAAGGTTCATTTAGGCCAGGGGTCAACAAGTTTCCTCTGGGCCTGTAAACTGAGGATGACTTGTGCCTTTTTTAATTGGGGAGTGGGGGAGAGATCAAAAGATGAATATTTTCTAACACAAGAAAATTTTATAAAATTCAAATTTCAAGTGCATCCACTGAAATTTGAATGATTGAATGATTGATCCATTCATTCATTCAATTCATTATCACTGCAAGCGATCAAAGAAAAAGCTCGATGCACATCTAGCCACTCACATTCCAGGACGTCAGAGGCAGGTTCCCTCCTTAAGGGTTCATTATATCCTGTATAATCACATCATTGACAAAACTCCACACTTTCTCTAGTCTCTATGTGCTTGCTAAAATAACACACTTGCTTTTATCTTTCTTATTCTGGCTTCAAAATATTTTTAGTCGCAAATTGCTTTCTTCCCCAAAATTCCTAAATGCATTCATTCCACATGCATTTGTCATCACATGTATCAGGCACTAAGCTCTGTGCTACCAAGATTAAACACATGTAGGCCCTCTCTTTATGATATTGACCATTTAGAATGGATGGTGGAAAAGTGTGGAAAGAGCATTAAGAGCAAGGGGGAGGGTAGCGAAGGCAGCCTGAGGAATCAGGAAAGATTTCAGAGAAGTGGCATACGAAAATAAGCAGGGAGGGGCAGAGGCAGAACTGGAAGAGACCACTTCAGTCCCAAGGAGCATGAACAGACATGAGGATATAAACAATAGCATAACATGTGCAGATAATTGCAATCAGTTGGGAGCTACATAAGCACTCATATTATACGTCTGTTTATCGTTCTGTTTATCATATCATTCTGTTTATCATACCAGAAGACAATAGTCCCCCCTGACAAGGATATGTTCTAAAACTGCCAATGGATGTCTGGGACAATGGATAATACCAAAACCTATATACACAGTTTTTTTTCCCCTATATATACATGCCTATGATAAATTTTAATTTATGAATTAGGCACAGTAAGAAATTAATAATAAGATTAACAACATACTGTACTAGGAGGTATGTGACTATGCTCTTTCTCAAAACATCTTATTGTATATATTATTTTCTTTTTTTTTTAAAGATTTATTTATTTATTTACACAAGCACTGGGTACAGTCAGAAGCGCGGGAGGGTGAGAGAATTCACCAGAGCCAGAGTGGGAAGCAGAACAGGCAGAAGGACCGAAGTACACTGCTGAGGGGAGCAGTGGGTGGCAGGAGAGGTCTGCGTGCCATGTGGGACCCTCCTCCGGTGGCCGGGGAGCAGCCGGGGATCGAACCAGCGCTGCAGAGGCTGCGGGCAGCTTCGCAACCCAGCGTTCAACCGCTGCACCAACGGGGAGGCCCTGTATATATTATTTTCAATGGTAATTGATACATATAACTGAAACTGAGCAAAGTGAAACCCCAGATAAGGGGGAGACTACTGTGTTATTGCCTTTGATGTCCCAGAGTTTTATATACATTTGAAAACTTTTCTATTGTTTCAACAACAACAATAACTGTCTGAATGCTTGAAATCATGCTTTACTAACATTACCTCGTATTTTTCACATCCTTTGAGGTAGTTATTATGGAAGCCTCCTACTTAAAATGCAGCAATATCTCTTGAGAAACTCCCATTTGTGCACACGAGACTATACAGGAAGGCTAAAGCAACACTCCGTGAAAACAAAAATGGGAAACAAGCTCAATGTCTAGCTGAAAGACAAAGGACAGCTCATGGTCTGTTTGTAAGAGGGCCAGAGAGGAACAACCTCCAAGCCAGTGGGTTGCGCTCATAGCAAAACGGAAGGTGCAGCTTTTGACTGCCCCAAGACTCCCTAAACAGGGGGTACTGGGAACTAGGGGTAGAACTGAGCCAACTTGTAGGCCTTAAAATGACTGAACACAAGTGGGTCACTCTCTTTTTTTGACTTTCCTTTGTATCCAGGTTTCTGCAGAGCCGACACTAATGAGAAAATATATTGTTGAGCAAATGAATATAAAAAGATTCCAACAGCACTTCCAGTCTAGGAGCAATGAACATTCCAATACAGGCATAATTAACAAGTGTGCTCACTTACAGCTCCTTCCTTTCAAGATTCATGGCCAGGGACTTGGCACTCTTATCTACAAGGTTGGGCAGCCAACCAGCTAGTCTATCTTTCCAAGGTCATCCCCAAATGCCTGCATCTTTCCCGCCTTGTCTGGGGATGTTGCTGCAAATGGTTGTGCCTGGTGAAAAATGATGCTATTACAATGTAACAGATATGGAGACAACTGTGTATAAAAGGAATCCTTGGTCTTCAAACAGGTGCTCAGACCTTACTGGGCTACCCAGGTCTGGGACCTCATGCATGAGTAATAAAGCTTCTCCTGACCTCACCATTCCTGAAGTACCGCTTGTTCTTCCTCTGCCTGGCTAAAAGGCTAAAATTTATTTCTACAACAATGCAATCTGCTGGTAAGACAGATGGAATGTGGTCATGTGCCAGCCAAAAATTTTCTTTCCCTTCTCACCTCTCCCTTTTTCATTCCCTATGTAAATAAATCCCTTTAAATCTTTTTTTTTTTTTTAATTTCTCCCTGTGTGTCTGCTTTTGGGTGTTGTCCTACATTCTTAAGTGCACCAATGAGGACTCACAACCCCCATCATCCCAGTTTCCCCCACCTCCACATTTGCCCTATGACATATTCATACAATACAGAACTATTGTTATAGAGCAACCCCGATATTAAATGGGTTCCTGGCTGTGGGTCCTCACCCACGCGCTTTAAAGGGACTTATGAATACTCTACTACAGGCACACACAAAAGGTTAATAAAAGGTTTATTTACAAGAGGAAAGGAAATAAGGAAAATGTACAACTCAGGGAGAAAATAGGGAAATAAAGTCTTTAATGCGTCCTACCCGATCCGATGACCTGGAAACCCAAAGTCACTCTCAGAGCTGGCCGGACGCTGCCACCTGGTGGAGAGCCCAAAAATGGGGTCCCCCAAAGCCCACGTGTCTGCCTTTTCTATCCACCTGGCTGCTTAACCCCACCCTCAGGTCCCAGCCACCTTCCCTTTGGTGGTGATGGGATTTGGAGTTCCCAGTGTCTTTGGCTTTGACCTGGGGTGGGGGTGGAGTCCACAAAGCCTATATGGAAATAGCTTTGGGACATCCTTTTCCCCCTAACACTATGATAGTGAATGAAGTAAACTCTCATATCTAAGCAGGCATTAATATTTTTTTTTTAAATGGCAAGTGTGGGGGGGAAGCAAGTAAATAACATTTATCTAAAGATTTAAATCATGCAAAGCAATACTTCATGTTACTTAGGGATACATATATAAGAAGTAAAAGTTATAAAGAAATGAATGGATATGAGAAATGCTGAATTCAGGTTGGTGTTTACTTCTGAGAGAAGGAAAGGTTCATGAGGAAGCAAGGAAATGATACCGGAATTGTCAGGCCTAGTCTCCCAGCCAGGAATGGACCTCAGGCTGCAGGGCAGCGCTGAGCCTCAGTCACTAGACCCCCACGGGTTGGTGTCTCACGAAGCCGCAGCAGGAACTTCACAGACTCTCAGGCAAGCAAGCAAGAAGAGGCAGGTTTGTTTTGAGAAAGAAAAAGTTTATTGAGGAGAAAAAGAGCAGAAATAAAGTGGGACTCCCAGGCCAGGAAACCAGGCCTGGGAGGGGCAAGGAAGCCAAAGTGGAGTTGTGTCTCAGGAAATATATATACCTCTTTTTCCCTCATTATTTTAAAGCTCCACCAGTCTCTTTGTGATTGGTTAGTTTTCGGCTGTTTTACTTAATTTGCTACTGAGTGGGAGATTTTTACATTTTTTATTTAACAGTTTTGTCTTTCCCCATTTGTTGTATTTTTATCTTTATGGCCCAGTTCTCTGGATGGGCATTCCTGTATTGAAGTTAAACAGTTGTCTTTCTAAGTTGTTCATAAATTAAACCACTCTCTATTTCTCTAATCTCTGCCTCCCTTTACCACCTGAAAAAAACCAAGACCAGCTTTAACAATGTTGTCCTTGGTCCTGAGATGTTTGTTTTTCTTAGTGAAATTGGTTACATTCCCTTGGTTGTCCTTATCTCTGAAGCCTCCCTAAATTCTTCAGAGGTCCTCTCCTACACTGTCCCTAAAACTGCCTAATTTCTAACTTGCCCTATGTCTCAGAAAGACCATTCCAGGAAGGAGCAGCCTATACATTGAGATATACAATAGCTCAGTAGTGGAATCAGGAAAGATTTAATATTTACTTAATCATTCGATGAAAAAAGGGTGGGAAGGGGAGAGCACTAGAGAAAGACCTCAGGGAGGTGCAGAGAAGCCAGGTACTACTCAGGTTTGATCTTTCCCAACAAAGGGGAGCCAGTCATGAATTCCAGATACCTCGATTTGGCATCACTATGGAGAGTAGATTGGAATGGTGAAGACAAAGGAAGGCTGATGGGGTAGGCCTCAAATGAGATGAGAACCTGAAATTAAGTAATGGCAATCTGACAAGGAAAGGAGAGGATAGCGAAGAGAAACTCTTGCATAGCCCACCAGCAGACAAGCCGCTCCACAGGGAAATGGGTGGGACATTACCTAGCAGTGAGATGAATAGCATACCATATGCAACAGCTTGAATGAAACTCAAAATGTTGACTGAAACAAGTCACAGAATACTGCACAGAGAAAGATACAACTCTTAAATTTAAAACCAGTCTCAGCTTTTTGGAGTCACATAAACATGTGCAGATACATGGACACATAGTCATGAAAGAAACGATGACTACAAACCGAAAGTGACTTCTTTGAGACAGCGGACGAGATAAGATGGCGAAGGACCTGTCTCTGTGCACGCATTGCGAGAGGGATCTAGAGAAGGGTCATTAATAAACCAATGACAACATGTTACTGTGACCAAGGGCTAGGCCTAGTCCATATGGATGAAAGGCCCTAATAAAGGAGAGAAAGATGAGGCAAGATGTGCATTTTTCAACTACTTTGGAGGTATGATCCGAAGATTTCCAGACCTTTTTCCCCCACAGCTGGATTCGGACTCACGCTCAGAAAGCCGAGCCGCCGCCCTTGCTATTCCCCGCCCCCAACCCCGGGAACAGCAGGCGCGCGGGCCTCGGGCTCGCCGGCAGCGCCCGCGAGGAACCCGGAAGCGGGGCTGAGGGGCCCGGCGAGCAGGAAGGCGGGGCTGCGGGGGGCGGGGGGCGGGAAGGCGGCCGGCGCAAGCGCAGTAGCGCGCTTCGCCGCCATGGCGTGGGCGCCGTCCAGTCAGCTGCGGGTGGTGGCGGCGACTTCCCCTCTGGAAGCCGGGTCTCCGCCTCCTCCTCCACCTACCCCGCCTGCTCGGTGGCGGAGGCGGCAGCGGTCGTCCCTGCCTCTCCGCCACCTCCACCTCGGCCTGTGTCCCGGCCGGCGGCGTTGGCGGGGAGGGGGACTGTAGTTGTAGACGCCCGCCCCTGCCTCAGAGAAGGTGAGTTCCCGCCCCGGCGGCGGGAGCGGCCCCTCTTCAGCCCCTGCACTGCGGGGCCCAGTAAAGGCCCGGCGCACCCAGCCGGCCGGGCTCGCCCCGAAAGTGCGAAATGGCCGACCGGGCCGGGCCGGAGTTCCTGCGCTCTCCACACCACCCGCCGACCCCGGGAAGGGGCGCCAGGGCCCCCAGTGGATTGTGGAGAGTAAAGGAACGCGACATCATGCTGAGGAGGCGGAGGTTTGAGTGGGGACGAGAGGCGACCAGGCAGAGAGATCGTGCACTGTCAGGGAGAGGGAAGGGGGGTTGATGAGAAAACTCCCAGACTGAGGGGACAGAGGCAAGGAGACGAGAGGCCTAAGACGGGAAAGGGACATCACCTCGATTTGCACTAAGGGAACACCCCGGCAAGTAAAGAGAGGTGGAGTTAGGAATTGGGGGACAGTAGGAAGTCGCTTGGGAGCTTCAAGTTGTCGGGACCACTAGGAGGTGGTGAGGGTTTTGAGGGATCCCTTTGGAGAGATTTCCTTGTCTAAGGATAACAGCCCGTCAAACAAGTTTCTAAGATTTTAAGGCCTTGCTTGAGATGGTCTGAGTTTTATTATGTATATGCCACCGTCAAAGACATCAAAGCCTGACATTAATCAGAGCAGTAATAACAGATTTTATGCCCTAACTACTGACATGGGGGCAGCTTAGCTCCATTCAGAAAAATGCCCCGGGGTGACTGGACGTTTTAGAGGGGAAATGAGGTAGTGGGTGAGAAAAGAGTGTTCTGGGAGGTGAAAAAGTAGAGACCCAGGCAGTGTGAATGCCAGCAGTGTTGCGTGCTGGTCATTATGGAAGTTAGGATTCTAGCTTCCCACGGAGCCTGGGAGGCAAAGAACCGGTCCTTTCTGAAGATTGCATTGAAATGGATGGCTTTGTGGCCCCGGAGAAAGACCCCTCCTGAGTTGTAGGAAATACGTGTACATCTCAGAGGAAGTGAGGGAGGGAGCTCACTTGTCAATCTGTTTTACTAAGTACTCAAAAGCTGGGCGATCAGGGACCTATCAGCAGGTGTTGATTGGAACAGGATGTTCTTTTCGACATCCCTGAGCTTTTTACTCATGTGAACCCAGAAGGGGCCTTGATCCCACCGAATTGGCCTTAGATGCTCAAGGCCCTGGTAAAGTTGGGTCAAGTCTTTTTGTGCCGTTTGTTTGGAAGGAGTGTTCTGCGGTTCTCACCAACACATTTCCCCTAACATAAAAAGGTATTTCTTGAGCATTTCAATCTAAGAGATGGTTGAGTTCATAAAAATAATATATACCTGGGAACTGCCTTCTGTGCCAACTGTGAGAACAAACTTTTAAGACAGCTTTGAAAACGATTTTAGGTGGTGTAGCTTGATCCCACTGCAGAAGGTCTCAGTGAAACATTCAGCTATCTTCATTTCATAATTAATTTTTAGTACTTGCTGTGTTGCTTTATGTTGCACTGTGTCTCCCGAGTGAAAGACGGTGAAATTATTGTAGACTAATTTAGATTTCTTTATCTTGGAGGAATAAATACAATAGCCTCACAAAAATAATATTTTCACCCTCTTCATGTTATATTCTACTTGCTGTTCCATAATCTTGCACCTTTCACTTTGGAGGAATGACAAAGCAGTAAAATATCATAAATATCTGAAAACATTTTTGTAAGCACTTTATATAAATTCCATTCATTAAAAGGGGTTATTAGAAATTCATTGCAACCAAATAATGTTCCATTCAGTCTCTTACTGAAGACAGTCTTTGAAAGATTAGATTAAATGTATTTAATCAGCCTGATAGCATAGTATCATTTTCTGAGATAAACAATAAAATCTGGATTTTTTGTTTTTATACCAAACTTCTTTCTCTCACCAACAAGGAAGGCTGTATATAGGTGTCACCCACAAGCAAGCGTCAGGACTACAGTTTAATTTGACTTCCATAGCCAGATCACAGGAACATTTGGAAATAGTTTCTTGTGAAAGAAATGACTTCTTGCCAATCCTAGCATTTTGTTTGTAGTTAGTGATAACTTTGAATTTGTGCAGTTATTAAAAACAGTGACAGTTCACACAATATTAGCAATAACCTTTCTATACCACTTTAAGGAAGTAGGAGAGTGCTTGAGTCTTGACTTGTAGCAGGTTCTAGTGCTGATTACCTCACTAGCTGTGGGGACTTGAGTAAATCCCAAACTTTCTGGACTTGAGTTTTATCATTTGTCAGGGGAGGAGTAGGACTAGCCGGATCAAGTGGTTCTCAACCAGGGGTGATTTTGTTGTTCTCCCACCACCACCCTCTGCCATCCCCCAATACCACTCCCAACCCAAAGGACATTTGGCAGTGTCTAGAGATACTTTTGATTTTCACCTTTAGGAAAGGATGGGCATGGTGAGCACAGGTGCTACCAGCATCTGTGTAAGCTACCAGCATGGTGTATAGGCTTGAGAAGCTGCACACATCCTAAAATATATCGGCAGCCCCCATACACACAAAGGATCATCCCACCCAAGATGTCAGCATTGAGATTGAGGAATTCTATGCTACCCAAACCCCGAGGTCCTTGACAGTTTCAGAACTGAGTTGATTTTGCAGTTCCTAATGTTATTGCCGTGGCATGGCTTTGTTCTATAAGAGCAATTCATAAAATATCCTTTGACCTATAGAGACCATAGATGACATTCATAGAATAATGAAATTTCTGTAGATTTAGGTCTGAGACTACTCAGGAGGATTTGAAAACCAGTATCATTTGTTATTTAAAAATTATCTGTTGTCATTTCTAGTAAATAACCTTCATTAGCCTTCAGTTAATTGCTACTTAACAAATGGTCAATATCTGATATATTATTTCAAACACTTTAATAGGATTCAGTATATTTTTAGTTTAGGTCATTTATAAAAGCCTTAAATAATTGGCAATTATGATAGTACATAAGCAAGAAGAGGAAAGAAATGTTACTTGGTACTTAATATCATTTTTTTCCCCCCTAAAAATAGTTTATCAGATTCTTCGAGGAGTAAAACTATTGGTGTGTTTCTATTTATTCAACTCTGACTTTCAAGATCTTGATAGGAACATTGAAGCTGATATGAAGGTTATCTGCTAATACTTGTAACTGTAACACTCTTATGAGGAGTTACTCCGTATTGGGCTTGATAATGAACAAATGTTAGTATTAAATATTGGCAAGTCCGGAATATATAGGTGGTATAAGATTACAAATAGGAAATTCAAAAATTAAACTGAGTCACAAAAGAAATACGTGACCAGACTTAAATGAAAAGACATAAACAGAATTTATGGTCAAGGTATCAGATTTTTCCACAGCACTTTATAATTCATTCAGTGAGGTTTCTCAAATACTTTTGACAGCTTAAAAAAATTTCACTGAGTAATGATAGCCCTGAGAAATCAGTAAAAATAAAATTACATGTTTATCTGCTGCTGCTTTTTAGGAAGAAATAAATGGACTCAGTTTTTTACTGAAGGGTATTTGACTCCTTATTGAATCACTAATCCATTTATTTAACAATTGCCTAAAAAAATTTCCCTTTTCATGTTTTTAAGCAGAAGCTCAAGTCCTTACATTTATTCAGAAAACATTTGAGCTTCTGCTCTGTATCAGATATTATGCTTGGCACTAAGAATAACAGATGAACCAGACATAACCCTTTTAAAGAGCTCAGTAGTAATGTTTGTTAGTGATATTAGAGAGGGACAGTGGAGAAACTGCAGTTTGAAATATGGATCAGTCAAACTCCTGGAGTATCAGGAGTTGTTCATTGTTTTATACAAATCTGCCCATGGCATTTTTGATACAGACACACCAAAACACATTATATTGTAAATCTAGTGTTGGCAGCTGGGAACACTAATGGGAGGAGAGGATATCTGAAGAGACATTAATGACTTTCAGATCTACATTTATTCAGTGTCAATATGTGAAAATAGTGACTTAGGCACATTAAAACAACTAATTTGAGGTCACCCCTACTATGTTCACCATTTTATGTTAGGACATGAGCATTGATTTTTTTTTTTCCCTCCTCCATACAGGTGCATTCACATTAACTAACCAACACTGTGAAAGGAATGGTATGCATTTGATAGCACTCTAATGTAGGATGTCTGCCTTGGGTTCGAATAAAATTACACAGGCATGATCCTTGAGCTCGTTGCCATAGAGTACTTAGATGAATTGCTACTCAAAGACAAAGTTTGAATAAAGTTTAAATAAAAGCAACTTTTATATTAAATATGTAACTAGTACTCCCAATTAAATACTTTAATTCCTTTGTATTTTTTCATTAGAAATATGTCATAGTAAACCTTAGTAATTTTTGCCATTGTTGTATTAGTGTGAAGTAGCTGGAGCTTGACAAAGTCAGGTCAGATATTAATCTCATTTCCTGAAAAGGCAAGGTTAATAACTAACAAAGCAAAGAGTATTCATGGTACTGACAGGTACAGGGCTGTAATCCCAGCACAGTTAAGATCTCAGAACTTTAATGGGGTTTGACCTTCATGGTAAAAAGGAATAAAACAACATACTTTGGCAAAGATAATAGAATGTTACCTAGTCTCCTAAAACTTAGTATTGCACTCTGCTTAGTCTTTCCTGAAATTGTAATGGCGTTAAAAGATGGCAAAGCTCAAGAGCAGGTACAAGAAACGAGGATGTCCATTCTCACCGCTTCTATTCAATATTTTCCTGGAGGTCCTAGCCAGTACATTCAACCAAGAGAAAGAAATAAAGGCTTTCAGATTGGAGAGGAAGAAACAATACTGTCTTTATTTGCAGATAATATGCTTGTTTATGTGGAAAAGAATTCGTCATTCTAGATGTCTCATAGATGAGAATATTTTCTTCCATTTTGTGACTTTTAACTTTTTTACTGGAGAGATGTATAAATCATGGAGATCAGAAGATGTTCCGGTTTTTAAAAAAGGGAAAAGTGGATTCCAGAATGTAAACTGGA